CGGAACGATAAAGTTGCACTGCTTTCAAGAAAGCTATGCACCGCTAGAAACGCTAGGTGTGGCAAAACTTTAAATGCGTTTTTTTGGAAACTGTGCTTTGCACACTGGCTGCCATCATTTCTCAATAATAAATGCACTAATCAATGAATTATGTCAATGCCTACAATAATTATTTTTTGTTATCTCTTGAAGAAATTAAAACTTTCATGATAAAAACAACATTTTTATCGAAATCCATTTTTTAATACAACAATGTGAATCGTTACAGCTCTTCAAAATGTTACTCTGTGATAAATATGCAATAACTGAAATAGTAATTAAGATAATTACATAAAAATTAAACTGAGCTTTCCTGAAACACAATCAAACGTGTACGAAAAATTTCAAGTCCCTTGATTTAAAATTATTCGATCAATTTTTACCCTAAATATCACCTAAACTTGACTCCTCTAAATGGTAATTCTCCCTTAAGGGGATATACCACCACTCCTCCATTTTGTAACATTTTTACTTTTTAAAAATTGGGGAAGAAAGCTGAAAGTTACATTTGTATCCTGTGAAAAAATTGAAACTTTTAATTTATTAGTTACCTATAAAAAAAATTCCCAAATTTTTCCTTTTTTCAGACGCCTCAGGGTGTTGTACCCCCTTAAAGCCATCGCAGAATTTGTGCCATTTATCAGCAATATGCCGGCTATATCGATGTATTATACATTCTATAAATATCCCCGTATATGATATACGGGGAACACGCTCGAGAAGTTTCAGACTTCATTACAAGCGTCTATCGATTTTCTCTATTTAAATTTCTTTTTTTTTTATCGCCTATTTACCGGAATGCTTTTCGAACAGTCGTCGAGCGTTGAAAGAGTATTGAAATGCAGAGGAATGGAAAGTTGCGAGTGCTCCCTGACAAGGGTGTCTGCAGCTGTTCGACTCACGGTTGAATGACCTTGATGAGCGGGCATTACAACTCATTAGACAAAACGGATACTTTACCCTTGTTTCGATGCACAAGTTGCGGCGACCCATCGAGTACCCTTTCCTTGTCTAAAGTACCCTACAAACACACCTCCTTGCCCCGTGCCTCTCTTCTCAACATTTACCTCTTGCCAATACTCGCGTGTTCTTCGAACTCGTTTAACCACCCTCTAACTGCTGGTATCTTCAGATTTCGTCGTTTCGATCCGACAACTAATTTTTCTGGTTCGTTCAGTGGGACCACTTTGTATTCGCGCCGTTTCTTTCCAACTATTCAATTTTCTTCAAAGGGGACATTGAAATGGGTAAACTTGGAGTTCAAGTCGTGAAAAAGGTTAACTGTGGAAAAGGTAAAATGGAAACTATCAAATTAACCGTTTGGAAGTTTAAATAGTGAATTCAATTAGAAAATTGTGAATTTGTGGAATTGTAAAAGTTGTGAATTGTAAATTTGAAAAATTGTAAATTTTGGTTAAGGATAAACTTTGTTGAAAATTACGAAATCAGTCCATTCTTTTGAATTTGTTTCCAATATTTATGTATTGGGTGTGCAAATTAATTTGGTGCCTTTTTTTACAAACTTCAATTCTTAGAACTGTTTAAAAGTTCAAATGGTGTATTTAATTAGTATGTAAATCTTTACCCAGTATTGTAAAAACTGCTGTACATAAAATGAATTTAAAGAAGTGCTTTATTTTTACATGTCACAAATTTACTTGATGATTAATTGTATTTCAATTTTTACACGTACTTCAACTTCCACATACTAAATACGAACATTTCTTCTTCTTCTCTTTCACTTTTATACCATCTTCGTCTGAAATTTTTGGTTAATTACGGATAAGAAGTTGGCTCTCCTTTACGAATCATTTCACTTGCAGTCTAGAGAGCTGTAAGAAAGAAATGCCGCCATAACGAGGACAAGTATTTACGAATCATTTCACGGTGGCGCGACTTGAAGAGAAAGCCTACTATAACGAGGACAAGTATTTACCCTCGAGAACATTGAAACAATGGATCTCATCTCTCTATCTTTTATTCGCCTGGCTTCATTGTCTGTGCTTGTAGCGAGCTGTTCTAATAATCTTAGAACGATCTCATTGATTTGCAAATCTGATGTCGAATCCTAGGTATCGTGATAACTATACTTCCGTTAGGCTGTCAGGCTAATTTAATAACTCAAAACGACATGTACAATTTTAACACCCATTTCAATTGGTCCAAATTTATTTTATTGCTGTGTAACTTTTGTGACAATATGAATTGTTGCAACAAAATCAGTTTTTTTATTGCATATCAAATTATGTCCGTGGAAATTCTAGTTTGTTGAATCTCAAAAAAAAAAAGAAAAAGAAAATAATTAGCCATGATACACATTTTCCAAGTAAAACGAATTATTAAAATGTCTGAAGTTACCATAAAGCCCTACGTTTTTCCTAAATACTGATAATGTACGTATAATGTAACGTACAAAGAAACTATCTTAGATACTCAAAGGGAGGATGATAATGCTTTATCAGAAGCGTTTGTGGTATAAATTAAAATAGTAAAAGGAATTTATCCTGTCTGCTTAGATGAAGTATAAAAGAATTCTATTTTCTTCGTTACACTGTTTGAGGAAAATACAAATTTTAAACATGACTTTATTTATTTAACTAAGACTTTAAGTACCTTATCAAAAAAAATGCCGTAATATTGGTTTATATTTAAATAATTTGCAATGGAACTTTGAAGAATTTTCATGAAACTTTGGTATGTAATAGTTTAAAAAGAATATTCGACATATATCGTACATAACAAAATCAAAATTCTGATTTATCCGTATTTGGTATTCGAGTGTTTCAAATCTGTTTACGTAGTCAAATTTGTCTTTGAAAAATACGAAATTCGTCAATTTACACAAATCTTGTATCTTCAATAATTTTTGAGATATCAGAGTAACTTATTAACAGGAAGTGAAACGGTGTTATATACGTTTACTGCCCCAATATTTGATGACGATTTTCACCCTTTCAGTGTGGACAATTTCCAATAAAAAAAAATACTTGTGGCATACTTTTATGTATCAAAGTTTCATCAAATTCGGTGATTATTAGTTCGAGATGTTTCCTTGTTAAATATTATAATTTTTACGAATCATTTTGCCATCAACATTTGCCACATTTAATATTTCAGCAAACTCATTGCGTAAAAATTCTACTTGTTCGTATTAAATATAAATTTACAATTCAGACATTTTGCTTCCACTTACGTGCAAAGTAAGTAGTTGCACAAAATGAAAAATTTCACGTAGCATTTCATACAAAAAAAAAGAAAAAGAAGAAAAAAAAACACAGGTCGCGCGCCTTTTTGCCTAGAAGGCTTTCGAGCAGTATGAATAGCCTTATCGAACCACGAAACGCGAAAGAAAGAAAGAATTTTTTGTTATTTCTAACAGTAAACTACTAAAGTAACTAAATAACAATAGCTTGAAAAGTTCAATAAAATTTATTGCAATTCTCTAAAAGTTCAATAAAATTCATTCTAATTTATAACAATTTTAAATAAAAAGTAATTTACTTTTCTACTAAAAACTGTTATTATTATTACCACAAACAGCGTAGAGATATAATAAGAAATAAATGAACCAATACGTAATTAAGCAGTTACGTCTCTTTTCATTAGTTATATTTTAACCGGTGTTTCCTCTTATAAAGGACCCCGAAAAAAAGGAACGATTGCATTGAATATTTCGTAAACTGGGAGCATGAAACTGTCAAATAAACTGGGAGGTAATCAGATCTTTCACGAACGTGCTGCTCGAAAATGTAAGAGTTAAGGGTACGTTTAACCCGGGGCGGTTACGATCGACTGGCTAAATTATTTAAAAACGAGTCACCCTCTTTAAGGCGGTGCTCGTCGTTTCTTGACTGCTGGCGACGAGGACCTGCGAGAGGGGAATGGATGTGGTTCCATTCATGCTTATTTCAAGCTCATTGTGCGCCCGGTGTATTCAGCCTTTGACTTGCTTCTCGTGTTGCCACTGCAGCAATGTTTCATAGAGAGCAAGAGGCGTGTATGTCACTAGCTAAAATCAGGAAATACCGCTGTCACATTTTCTTCGATGCTAACGAACATTACTGAAGAAATAGTGGCCTTACGATTCTCTGCTACCTCCTAAATGCGTTTTGTTTTGAAACATGATGTTACACGGTGCTGTTTCGAACAGTTTATCGAATTGTGGGATTTTGTATTTTTGGGGAGGGGGGATAGGGTGGAAGGAATTATTGTATTCTGCATATAAAATGAGAGGTTTATTGTTTTTTTTTTTTTTTTTTTTAATTTTGAGCGACGTAGATATCGTCTTTTATGCTCACAATTTATTCACGATGTACCAGGTTCTGAGTGAAGAAATGAAGAAATGTATATTTCTTAAGTAAGTGATTTTATTCTTCAGAGTAGATTAAATTGTATTTAATAATTTTTAAGGATTTGTTTCAATATTTTCTCGCAAGAGATCATTGTTCGCAACATGGGGCATCTTCAAGAGTCCCATTTCCAGATCGAAGTTTCATGAATTGAAATTGTGGTTTATGATCGTTAAGAGCATTTTTGCCCAAATGTTTAAATGTTTAAATTCGTAAGAATTCTACTAAAATCTACCGAAATCTACCGAAATCTACCGAAATTACCTAAAATCTACTCACCGAATGAAAAGCAAGCCTCCTTATCATAACAAGTTTAGTATGAAATTATTTGACTCTCTAAAGTCTTTACAAATATTATTAAGATCCTAAAAAAAATTTATTCAGTCCAGAATCTTGAAGTATGACACTAACTTTGACGAAGAAGTGTTATACTTTCCATACGAACATAACGTGTGTCCTAATAGTTACGATCGCCAGTGTATACTACACAAGACATTTAATTCTTGCAAATATGTTTTCTCGACTACTTCGTTGGAACAATATGGAACAGATTGTGTGCGTCAGAAGAAACATTGAGAAGAATGAAATAACATTTAGAAAATATTTTTTTAGGAAACGGGAGAGGCAACGAGAACGTCTTTGTCGCATGTACAATCAGATTTTAACGGAATGCTCGCAGCTTAATGGAAGCTGGCCTGACCCGGATGATCCTCGCTGGAGCAGCGGGGAATATGATGTAGAACTACTGTCAGACTGGTTTCCGTCAAATATCACCAACGGTACGATAGCAGGGAATACAACAGCTTTATCAACTGGTAATACAATTAAATTCTTCTCGAAACTTATGATTCAACCACAGTGAATTAATACGAATCAGTCAAAATTGCATTTTATCGTTGAATTATCGCTGTTTGACATTGATAGTGGCATAACTAGAAAAATCTCAATTTCTACTTCTTCTCTGCAATATTTTTCTTATTTAAAATTTCATTCGTTTCACATCAGAGAACAGTATTGAACTGATTAGCCAAATGCAAAGTTTGTAATTATTTTTCCTGTAAAATTTACACTTTTGAGTAAGGCTACTATAGATGCCAGGTAGTGAGATCATCAGGAAACGTTTTAACTTTAAAATAATTCAAGAAATTTAATAATTTACTTTGATTGAAGTATTTTAAACTAATATTATTGACTCTGTTGTAATAATAAATGAGTTTGTAGTAATTCTAATCACGATTTTGACGAATCGAGATAAGAATTTGTAACATTTAATGAGAAGATATTCTATATATTAAACAGCGGAACCTTTCACACCTGTTCTACCACCCTTCGAACTCTGGCAGACGATACTGATTGCTTTCTGCCTTGCATTATGTATACTGTTAACTGTCGGCGGTAACATTCTCGTCCTTCTGGCATTTATCGTAGATAGGGCCATCAGGCAACCGAGCAACTACTTCATTGCTTCATTAGCAGCCACTGATATGCTTATTGGTAAGTTACAACATCTTCTACATATTTTTATTTTCTCCATAAGTGTAAATATTATCGTTTTTTTTTTTTTTTTAATTAAAAAGCTAACCTTCCGCTCATTATACGCTTTTTAAAAAACTAGCTTTATGTATATTCCAGTTCGTAAATATTTAACACACTTGCTGAATGTGAAGCAAGCCTAAACAGTGATTAAAAAATTATTAACATCCGAAAAAAATTAATTCAGTCTGGAATCTCGCCAACAATGGAGCTAATTTTAACGAAGAAATGTAGTACTTTTTGTTACGAATATAACGGGTGTCCTAATACTTATGAACGGTGTGTGCACTTTTAATTAAATCAGTTGAAATGTTTCGTTCCAAACGAAACTGTGCTGAAATTGAAACGTAAGAGTAAAGGAAACGAAAGAATAAAGTAGAAAATTATTGAATATTCTGTTTATCTACTTCTTCTCACAAAGGGACATCCCGAAGTGACAATCGCTGATATTGATGAAACTTTGGTATATGGTAATACACGAAAAAATATTTTACAGGTATTTTGTTTTACGGGCAATCGTCCACATTGAAGGGATGACAATCGTCCTCAAAGTTGGAGGCACTAAACATATTTAATATTGCTCCACTTACTGTTAGTAAGTCAATCCAATATCTAAAAAACTATTAGAGATAGAGCAATGGTGTAAATTTTGTATTTATGCAAAAAGTGCATTTATTTAAGTAATATATTAAAAATCATTACCTTTTTATTCATTTTATTTTTATAATACTTTTTGATTATCGTGTAAATTTCTATGTGGAAACTGTACACTGGAATACCAAATACGGATAAATCAGAGTTTTGATTTTAATTTGAATCAATTAATTAATTTACTATATACCAAAATTTCATAAAAATCAGTGATTATCACTTCCGGATGTTTCCTTCTCAGTCACATTACTTTACAACACTTATTCAACCTTATAAAGTTAAAAATTACATTTACAATTCTATTTCACACGTACATTACATACCTTACATTTCATTCGAAACGTTTCACTACGTGCCAATCTTAGAATAATTTACACGTAACTTATAGTTTTCAGATTACATTGAATTAACCGTGATGCAATTGTTGAACAGGCACTGTGTCCATGCCATTCTACACGGTCTACATTCTAATGGGATATTGGAATCTCGGACCCTTGCTCTGCGATTTATGGCTTTCCGTAGACTACACGGTATGCTTGGTATCTCAATACACGGTGTTATTGATTACGATTGATCGATTTTGCTCGGTAAAAATAGCAGCTCAGTATCGCAGCTGGCGTACGAAAAACCGTGTAATCTGGATGGTTACCATCACCTGGATTATACCAGCGTTGCTCTTCTTTATCAGTATCTTCGGCTGGGAACACTTTATCGGTTACAGAGACTTGAGCCCTGGCCAGTGTGCTGTTCAATTCCTCAAAGATCCGGTTTTCAATACCGCCCTGATAATTGGCTACTACTGGACGACACTTGTAGTCCTGTTCATTCTATACGGCGGTATATACAAGACAGCGTACGATATGCAGAAAAAGAGCGAGGCTAAACAACGTAAGATGCAATCGATGGTGGCTCTGAGTGCCGGTGCGATGTCAGGAATGGCGGGTCGTGCAGCTGGTATAGGCATATCGAAAACCCAAAGCACTCTCTTGAGTCAGGATAAACCAAAAGTAGGTACGCCAGAGGAGGAAGGCGGAGGAGGAGATGGTTCGGGACAGAAAACCTCTTCCAAGACCTCTGGGATTGGAGTGACTGATTCAACGGAGAAGCAAACGTGTGGAAGCACTGTTCCCACAGAGACAGAGAAATCAGAACGGTCTAGTAGCCCAGCATTCGATTCTGACGAAGAGAGCACTATGGGACCAGCTCAGCAACATGGTAACATCAGGAAACGTTCTTCTCTGGCTGGACTAGTTGCTCAATCCGGTGCTTTTCAAATTTTCGCAACGAATGGTCAGCTAAATGGAATCGTACCTGCAAAGGTCGACGTTAATATGCAGGCACCAAAGAAGCATTTCCAAACTAGCCCAACCTGTGACATGAGTACAACGACACAGAGAACTCAAACATTGCCGAAAATACAAGAACTCAGTCACTTGGACACCGATTGTCCAGGTGAGCCTGATAAGTCTAGCAGCCTAACACTCACACCTGAACAATCTCAGAAGAATAGCGACGGTCCTAGCCAACAACCTTTGACCTCTACAGAAACGTCTCCGCCTACTCATCCTAACCATTCAATCACCAGTGGTCAACAAAATATCATACCACCACCAACACAGTTTCAGAGTAGCCCGCAAGTGTCTGATAGTCCTTCAACTTCGTCATCTACAGACAGACCTAAGTCTTTGGTTGTCTCTTCTCACGGTGTAGGTACTTTTGATATTCTAACCGGTTTGGACGGCGGTGATCTGAGATACATGGATGAAAGCTCGTTGATATTACCCAGCCCTTCTAACGAGAGCCTACCTTCTTCTTTCTCGTGCAGTTTAGCAAACCCTCTGTCAACCACACCTTCCTCGCCAATTTTAGGAAATATCGTCAGTGCACCGAATACCAGCTTGCTACAGGCTGCCCTAATCCGAGCTACGGCTCAACAGGTGAATAATCAGCAATCAGCAGGTGGTCAGAACAAGCAAAATCATTCTTATCCAGGGATGTCTAACGCATCCAGCCAAACCCACCCACCTCGTGTATTTATCACTCAAAAAACAAACGTAGCATCTCAAACCTCTCCAACAGTTAGCAAAGTGCACACAGAGGTTACTGTGAAGGCGGAGAGCACAAAGCAGCAGCCTGTAACGACGGTTATCAATGCACCAGCCACAGTGGAGACGTTGAATAACACTGTGAATCAGTTTTCAGATCAAGATACGAAGATCAATAATCCTCCTCAGAATTCATCCTCCAGTGGTAGCATCGTGCCTACCATTTCTGGCACGACAGGAAACGAGCAGGACACGAAGAGGCATTCGAAAAAGAAGGAGGCTAGGAGTAACGAAGAAGGTGGCTCCAGAAAAGATTTCGTGAAGACAATTGGAAAACGTTTGAAGACTAAAACGCAGAGAGGTGATGCTTTGATGAGTCGTCAGAAGTCTCGAACGGAGAACAGAGCTAGAAAAGCGTTCAGAACGATATCATTCATTCTAGGCGCATTTGTTGCTTGCTGGACACCTTATCACGTTTTGGCACTGGTAGAAGGTTTCTGTTCGAAGCCACCCTGCACAAACGAACATCTGTTTATGTTCTCGTATTTCTTGTGTTACACGAATAGCCCGATAAATCCATTCTGTTACGCACTTGCCAATCAACAGTTTAAAAAAACTTTCACGAGAATATTGAAGGGTGATCTGCATATGACGTAAAAGAAGAAATATATAGTTCTGAGAAGCGAACTGACGAGTTCAAGGAAGACGCTTGGAAATGAATGTTACGAAGAAGAAGAAGATGATGAAGAAGGCCTTCCATAATTAAATACCGAATTATATTTACACGCCATAATTATGGTGAGATTGGACAATAAAATAGTAGATATCTGCGACTTAAAATCAAGTACTGTGTGCTTCATGTATATAGTTAATAGGACGCGTTGGTGTAGTCTTAGAATTCTCGATTGTACATAATGTATATGTATGAATATTTGTTGAATTCTGTGCAGGAAAGCATGAGAATAAAAAAAGAAACCAGTCTAGAAAGACGTAAAACGTATTTGTAGCTTCAGGTAACTGTGCGTGTTACAATAATAATCGATATACCGGGCGCTTCAATATGTAAAGTCTCACCAGTTTAAGCATTTCTTAAAAAATAAATGCAAACGTGAGTTTCCTAATTTAACGAACGATTTGATTCGTTTATTTTGAATAGAATGAAAGAAGAGATAAATTGTTAGGGAAACATCGATAAAACAAATCACTGCATTATGAACGTTCTAACGAATCGTTTTTCAGTCGAAGACATAAAGGCTTGAATCATTAAATCTCGACGGGTAATCTGTCACGCAAATCTTTAATACGAATTATAGTTTCATCTCTTCAACGATAGGGAAAAGAAATATTTTTTACGAGCAACGAACCTATATAGATGGAAATCGCTCGTCTCGAAGAAGTACCAAATAATTAAGGATTTCATTATCCATGTACACACTGCCTTGGGGTGGCCTACTGATATACAGGCCTTCTTTTTCCGAATTCAGTTGCATTTGGTGCTGTCCTCGTGAATGAGCTTCCATGGATTTCTAATTGATAATATTTTTTCTTCTTTTTTTTCACACATTACGTAGAATGTTAATTTTGTTGACTCCTTCGAAAGGAGCTTTCAGGAATGCATCGATGATATTAATATAGCATTCGATTGTTGTTTAAGAAGCAAACGATCGTGTAATTTGTGAATTTTAAATAGGATGAATTTTGGGGTAATGTTTAACCCTAGAAAGACCAAGGGAGGGCTCCTCGAGGAAATGTAAGAAATATGTTATTTTTCTCGTTCCAAAAATTTCCAAAAAATTATGTATTATCACATTTAACTTCAAGATTGCTATCGAAGAATCGGTAATCAGATACAATCAAAGCTTAACAAAGCTCCCGACGTCTGCTCGCTATGTATCTTATTATAAAAACAAAAGATAATACAACATATCCTTAAAACATATCTTTACTATAGTCTATACTTCAAAACACTCAAATCAGTTGAAGATTAGTTACAAAACAGGCAGTCGAAAGAAAGTCTTAGAGGAAGCGTACGAGCGTTACAGCGTATTTTATTTTCAGAGTTGTTACAAATATTTTACACTTTTATTTTATTTCATATCTGACATTACCAGTACCCTTAAAATACTTGCTTTTAAACGTTACTTTTCGACCGAAAATATGATAAACTTAGGTGGGCTCGAGCCTCGGTCTTTCTAGGGTTAATATTAATAAGGATATCAAATATTTGAGGATAACAAGAGATCTTTCGGTACAAAAATTTTACTGGAAAATTATATCAATATCATTAATGTATTCGTAAAACACATAATGAACACACAGTCCACACAAGTTCATATTATAATACGTTCACTATAAACATAGGGTGTACAAATTAATTCGGTACCTTTTTCACAAAATCTTGACAACTTTATCGACTCAAAACCGCCATATTTCTTTAAAGAAGGAATTCATCACTTACTTAATAAATGAAAAAAGAATCATCCAAAATAATCACAATTTCAAGAAAATTTAAATTGCCTTTGATTTTTTGTAGACAAATATTGAAGTTTGTGAGAAAAACCACCAAATTAATTTGCACACCTACTATTACGAATTTTATTTGCCCGTAATACATATTTATTATATTTCGTTAATTTTTCTTTAGACGCATATACTGATTATTTGTTGATATTTCTTTTTTGTAAGAAAGTATATTGAGGTGCTCCAATTTTTCGTACTGTTCTCAAGAATTTTATAAAGCTACATATGTATATTCATTGCCGTTTCGACTGAGTATGCTTTTTTATTGAAAAACATATTTTTTAAGATACTACCGAAAGGTGTAAATTGCTCTTGTAAGACTAATTTAATAACAGTGTACAGCTTTGATACTGTTAATCGAGCTTTCTGATACAATCACTAATTACTAATCGCTGAAAGGAAACATTTTTCAAATTCCTTTTTGAAATATCACGTTTTACGAGGTACAATATATTTTTAAACAACATCTACACTCTATAGAAAGAATTTTACATACATAAATCCACCAGTAGTCATCAAATGAAATTATACTTCTTTATACGAGGGAGAAAAATAGGAAGAATATTACACTTTTTCACTCTTTCGTCGCAAATATACGTTTCAAGTTTGATTATATTTAAATTTAATATTATATTAACTAAATGAGAGAGAATAATTGCCCATTTAAATTTGATATTATATTAAGTAAATGAACAATATAAGAAACAATGATTTACTCATTTTTAAATGTTTTCTAACCCCTTTTTACGAGAAAGCAAGTACACTTATACTATTTGCTCTTAAAGGTATAATTTCCATACAAATATACGTTTCGAATTTTCTTTTACAATAATATTTATGCAATATTATATCAAGCTAATGAGAGAGATAACAAACAATGATTCAGTCAATGATTTAGTCATTTTCGAATGTTTGTAACCCTTTCTATGAAAAAAAACAAACAAGCACACTATACTATATTTGCTCTTAAAGTTATAATTTTCATATTGCAATAAATAATTGTTAAATGTACAATTGTAAACTATGTACGAACTCGATTTCATGGATACATACCGGGTGGGCCACGTAAAACAGATCCTCTCTATATATGGTGGTACCAGAAAATTATTGTTCGTAATTTAAATGCTTTTAAGGGACGAATAAGATAGAAGAAAAATTATTTTGGTAGAATAAATGGTAAAAAATGAAAGGAAGTTTCGCATTTGCTTTAAAATTTTTAATTTAAATGCACATCAATGAGTGACCTTGAAAAAAAACAGAAAAAAATGACATATGTAAAAAAATTATTCCTCCATCTTATTCACCCTTTGAAACCTTGTGAATTAGGTATAAAAATTGTCTCGTAGGTAACCACAGCTAGAGAAGATAATTAGTTGGCTTGTTTTATTTGATCCACCCTGTGTGTAACACTTATTTCGCTGAATATATGATATTCAGATGTAAAACTATTCCATGAAAATTGCAGTTATGAAAATTTGACTTCCTTTGATTATTCTCTTAACTTGTATGAATTTTATATTACTAATTTATTTCGAAACTGTTTTTCGAAATTCACTGCCAATAGCAAAACAGTCATCCTACTTCTTTATCGTACCTGCGATTTACTTATTTCTACTACGCTAAAAATCACGTTTTCTAACGATGAACTTTTAATTATTCTTCCTGTTTTGTTACAAAACAAACAAAAGAAAAAAAGAAGAAGATATACATACATAATGTGTATCCGACGTTTTTGAGGGAACTGTGTACGAGGAAAGGAAAGAGAAATGCAGAGAAGGGTATTGAGCAAGTTACTAAAATGTCCAATCGAATATTATACGTACTATGTACGACACTAAGCCGGAAAACTTCTAATATCGTCTTCTTTTTCGATGAAAGAATCTCTCGAAACACGTATTACATACATATTATAATAAAAATATATAAATAAATAAAGGTTTTCGAGTAGCGATCGGAAAAGAAGACGAGTAAAATACGTGCTTATTGAAATGTCAATTTTTTTCAGAAACTCGAGATACGAGGTTAGTATGTAACGTGTGTAAAACATAAGTAAAATACTTATTTCGTTAATTAGTAGATCGAAAATCGATCTTCCAAACGAAGAACCTGGAATACCGTACAAAAGTCTTAGGTACACTTACTTATAACACGAATTTAATTTGAATAAAATTTAATCAGATCAATAAATGATATTATGATCTACCGATTTACAGATTTACTAAATATTGTTTCATTTTTTTTTCTACGTTTTCCTTTCTTCCCCTAAATTTCTTTTGTCCGTTAAAATTCACGTTGTTCGATTTCTCATTTTCCACTTGCCAAACAATTAAAATGATTAAATTGCATTTCATCGATTTTAGTGACATAACAAGAACGTATATAATGAAATCATATAGCTCTCAGCTTTATTGCTTTTTTCATAAGACCGTTTCAAATGACCTAATATTTGAAGTTCTCCAAGCAGAGTAACATGGAATTTTCATTAAGTTTATTAAAAAACGTATATCGGAGCACATTAAGAGAGGTTTCTGCTGTACAATAGTGAAACAAAGTGGCCACGCAAAATATTTTACTCAAACAATGAATAGTTTTATGCCTAACTCGAAAGAAAAGTTGCTCCCATTTGAAATTACTTAAGCTGGTTCTATTCCTGATATATACCGGGTGACCCAGTTCTTTTTTTATCAAACTTTGCAAGATTATTCTACAGGCATTAGTAAGAAAAAAATGTTATATGAACACAGGTCGTTTGAAACTTCGTTAGAAAGTTACAACGAAAATAACAAATTTGCAGTTGCTACGATACAAGATAAGAATTTCGCTGGCAGAAGTTACATTTAACCCCATCAATTCTCTTAGATCGTAAACACAGTTCTCATAAACTTTGATCTATTCCTATATTGTATCGTAATTGCCTTCCTATTTCGTATTATTGTTCTAACTTTTCAACAAAACTTCAAACATTCCTTCCTTACTTATACCCATAGAAGATACTGACAAAGTTTGATCGGAGAAGAATTGAGACACCTGGTATATATTATGTGAATCAAACATGTGTTGCACTGTACGTAAATGTTAATTAAAGACATTTTCAATGATTCATCAAGCAAGAAACAAGTTTCCTGAACTTGAAAGAA